CATTGTTAAACAGTCACTTTTCTTTCAATGATTCATCATTGCCTTCTACTTAAGGACACAAGGAGTAGGTAATGTGTTGAAGTAGTTTTTATAAGTTTAATTCATCTATATATAAAATTCTGTGACTTCTGTCAGTCCGTCAAACCCTCTGAAATAGTTATACACTGGCCGATCAAAACCAAATTATGCGGAGAAGTGCAAACAGGTAAAGGGATACAAAGTACAGTTGGTTTTACTAGGGTTCGTAGCTTTGTACAATAAATTTCCATTAATTATTTTGGAAAAATTGAAAATTTTATTATTTAACATACAAAATACTCCTACTATTTTAACAATAATTTAATGAGAATTTGTTATTCTAATAATAACAAATTTTTATTTAATAATGCAACATTGTTTTTTTGCATATCTTTTAAGTTTTTATATATAAGAATCCTGTTTGCTAAAACTATAAACAAATTACAAGGCCAAACGGTTCAAAAAGTTGGAATTTGGCTCCAGAAAGAAATATCTTCACATAGTTGTATGCTGCATGCTCAAGAGTAAGAAATCATAAGAATTTATTCTTTGCTGTTAAAAATGAAAAAAAAGAAATTTTCTTAAATAATAGTTTACCATGAAGTCCTATAAAATTAAAGAGATTATTAAACCACAAAATAGGTTTATGTCAAAGTATTTTTCCAAACAAATCAGCTTATTCAAATTTCATTGATTGGTTTGCGAAATTGAAATGTAGAGTTTGTAAATCTTGACAAAAAATGTTAGTGATAACTTCAACAATACTAAATTCTGTGAGGATTTCAGCATGTGTCAACATATTACAAAAACATTCTAGTTGTTAAAATTCCTCAAAATTTTTGCTTTCTTCATTGACTTACAGCATGTTAGCAGAAGAATATTATATTCAATAATATTTGACAGGATTTGGCACACTGGTATTCTTCACAAGTTGAAAGGTTATAGTAATGATAGAGAAATGTTTCCTCTGATTCAATCTTTCCTATCAAATTCCAAAATGAAAGTTATCTTGAATGGCCACTTTTCTAGATCTTTTTTATTAATGAAGGAGTTAACAAGGGCTCTATTCTTGTACCTACATTCTTCAAAACTTTTATCAATGACATTGCTGATGTTATTAGTTCTCAATTTGTTATCTATGCTGATGACAAAACTATTTATTCCTGTCTTAATGGTAATTCTGATTGGTTAGATAAGGTAAAATTAGCAGCTGAGCTCAAAAAAATAACCTACTATCTCTTGTTAACTGGGGCAAGAAATGACTTGTTAATTTTAACATTTCCAAAGCAAAAATGCTTTTTTTAATAATCTGAGAGAACCTTTTTGGCGATCTCTTGGGCTAACATTTTTTACCAACAGGAAGTCGAAAAATTATATTGAATCAATTGCTAAATCTGTTAAGAAAGTTGATTTGAGCTAGACAATTTTTCTCACCATAATTTATCTTACACCTTTATAAGTTGATCATTCATCTATGGATTGAATATTGCTGCCACATCTGGTTTGATGCTTCTGCTATATCTTTAGAGATTCTTGATAAAATACAAAGCCGACTCTGCAAGGTTATTGGTCCTGACTTGACATTGCTGCTTCATTCACTTTCCCACTGTTGTACTAGTGCTTTTCTGCATGATATCCATAAATATTTTCATGGTAATTGCTCTGAAAAGCTTTCCTCTTTGGTACCTAGACTTTATACAGTTAATTGTACTACTAGATTGGCAGCAAGATCTCATCATTTTACAGTCACAATTGCTAGATGGAACCATAATTTTAATGCTTGTTCTCTTGTACTTCTCACTTGTGCAACTCTTTTTCAGTTTCTTGCTTTCTAGTCAACTTTGATATTCAAAAAATTAAATGCAATGTCAATCGTTATCTACTGGTTTTTTTTTATTCTTTTCTTTTATTGTCCTTTTACCTTAATAATTTTTTTCTCTCATATTCTTTGACACTCAAATACCCCTTGCATCTTAGTGGCTTCATTGTCTTGCTTGGGGGAAAATTATTATAAAAGAATAGTAAGAACTTTAATATCATTTTTGACAACAAGAATAAAATCTAGTATGAATATTCTGCTGGACAAAGTGGGGGATAGGTTTTCTATAGTCATTAAGTAATAAACTGAACCCCCATTAATTAAAACATATTAATAATTAGAAACAAATATAAAAACATTCTTATAATAGCCGTTAATTGTTATTTTTTTGTCTTAATTCCTATTCTTTTATTGTTCTCTCTGCTTAATAATGTTTTCTTCTACTCAGTCTCTCACACTTTGTAACCCTTTGGATCTTAGTGGCTTTATTGCCTTGCTTGGGCTGAAATAGTTAAAAGAAATAATTAGCACTCATACTCTCACTCCAACATCGGAAAATTAAATACTTTAGTTATGGAATTGGGTTACCATCTATGAAAGTAAAAGCTTCTGAGGATACCTGCGGAGACTCCAGACAAATCCATGACCAATCATTACTACAAAAAGTTGTTGAACAATCAATGACCAATCAATATCCAATACTGTACAGTTTTACAATTCATTGATCAATGTCTGGAATATTATTTCTTTTGTCACTTTATTCATACATCCCATGAAAAGAAATCCCAGATGTTATGGTAGACATGCTGAAATCAAGTCAGGGTGACCTAACTGATTGCCGGATTGCTCCTAATTAAAACTAAAAGGTGGGCAACCAAAATTTACACACAAGTAAATGACGGGTGTAAGGAAATGGAATAAATTTCAGTAAGGCAATAGTTTTCTTTTTATATAACTCAGTAAGAAATGAGAGAAAATACACTAACATGCATTCTAAAGAAAGAAGACATTAAAAGTTAGAAATTGTGGGGGTGATATACACATGTGTGTGTGTGTATGTGTATGTGTGAAAATATTCAGTCACTAAGGGGAAATATATTCCCATGCCTAGGATAAGCCTGGTGATGTTGTCATTTCTACCACATGTTAGAAGGAAAAAAGAGAAAAGAGGATGAAGACAGGAAGTGTCCCATTTTTATAAGTGCTTGACAGCATTAGCTAACGTCTGGATAAAATTAAGTGGAGGTAACCCACAAGCCTTCTTCTTTGGTACCCTGATTTTATGAATTTAAGTGCAGTACTAGATTGGCAGCTAGGTCTCATTCATTTTGCTAGATGTAACCATAAGTTCTTGCTTGTGAAACTCTCTTCCAACTTCTTGCTTTCCAGTCAACTTTGATCTTCAAAAATTTAAATGCATTATTAATCATTATCTTCTGCATTAATTCCTGTTCTTTTTTTGGACACTCTCTTTAATAATGTTTTTTTTCTTTCACACTCAGTAACCCCTTTGCATCTTAGTGGTTATCACCTTACTTGGGGTGAAATGATTAAGAAATAGAAAACCTTTCATGTCTGAACATTTGACTATGACTCAAGACGGAAAATACATATATTTTGGTTAGATCCAGTGACTAGACCCAAAAATTTGTGAGTTCACTCACAGTTTATAACAGTGGGGAATCAAAACTTGGAGAGTTGGGTTAAAGGGAAATAACTGAGACATCCAGAAGAGGTATGGCGTGTGGAACTAGAACAATCTACCCTGGTGGATGAAATAAAGGGTTCAGGTAAAAATTCCAATCAACTGAAGAAGGCCGGTGTGTACAACGGCTGAAACATTGTGAACATGACAATGAAGATGAAGATAACAGTTCGAATAATGTATATAATGTAAGTTTGTTTTCATTTGTTCTTTAATATGGTAGTAGCAGCAGCTGTTGCATAAATCAGCAGAATTTGTTACCTCCCTTTGGTATTTTTTACTGCATCATTTATGAACATTATTTATGAACAAGTAACAAACTATTTTGGCATACTTTTGAATATTTATGATACAAGTGGGTGGTAGAATATTTTTCCACATGAAAGTGGGTGATGACGCAAAAATGTTGGGAAACCCTGATCTAAACTATAATTTTAGAAAATGAAAATTTCACTGAAATATGTTGGGAACTTTCCAAGTTCTCAACTGAAATTAAGAAAATACAAACTTTGAGCAAAATGGTTGCAACATATGTAAAAAAAAAAAAAAAAAAAAAGGCATCCATTTAAATAGATACCAGGAGAATATGAGTTGACAGAAAAAAATTATTAAATGGACACCTCTGATAATTTACAAGAGGCCAATAGTATAAATGCCATGATGGATGCAGTAATTACATATTTTCACTCTATAGCTTGAAATACTCACTCAAAGTTACTTAAAAAGACACTAATGTTCATATTTTATGATCGTCATAAATTGTGCAAATAATTATATAGTGTGAACTGCTTTCAACTTTTATCAGGTAAAAGTAAATATTACAGTAATAAATCATTGCTGTTTCTTTTTCTTTTTTTGTTTGATAGATTTTTTATAGATTATCAACCCTTTGATTATTTTAAGCCAAAAATTACTTTTTAGATTGTAAGAATTTTTTTTTGCAATAATAATCATCCAGCGATACAAGTTTTACTAATTAACCTTTAGCTAGGTTATGGGAGAAGAGCTGGATACATACCTAATCAGATTTTGATAAACAAACAAGAATATATATGAAGTGGGGGATCAATTCTATATTACAATCAATATATAAACTGGTGCCTTACTTTGTGACCATGATAGTTTCTATACATTTATAACTCAGAGAATGTCAATAAATCTAAAAGGCATACCTGTGTAGCTAATCAGTATTTCATTAATTAAACTGATTCATTTTCTACTGCTTATCAATCCATTACAGGTTATTTAAAACCAGAAAATAGTCTTAGATTTTAAGAAATTTTTTTTTTAGATAATAATAGTTTAGTGATACAAGTCTTACTAATTAACCCATAGATGGGGGAGAAGAGGATGATTTATACCTTTCTTTTGCATGTTAGTGAATATGATGAAACCAACTGGAACTTAGGTCTCCAATTAAAATTTCTGTGCCATTATACATTACACCACTTACCAAGCTTACTGCATCTGGTATTCCGAAGTGGTCACCCATCCAGGTACTGACCAGGCTCAACATTGCTTATCTTCAATGATCATATGGGAACTGGTGTTTCAAATGGATATGGCTGTAAGCCATAGTATCCAATAACACTTGTCCAAGATTATTCTACTTCTCTAAGATAAATGTATTGGTAAAATGCACTTGTTCTTTTTTTTTTTCTTTTTTTTTTTAGATAATATTAATTATTTCACCCAATATAGAAATAGTCTGCTTCCAATTCTCAAAATTGTCCACTTTTGGTGACCACATTATGAACAGGCACTAGAATGTTTGATAACCATGTTCTGTCATGAGAGTCTAAGAGGGAAAACAACACTTTTCAAGAATAATATTAAACAAGGAAATTGTTCCAAGTTCACACAGGCATATGTATCTTTTTCTTTTATGTACCATATCCCTTCAAGACGTAGGCGATCATAGCACTACACATCTTCCTGTCCCTTGTAGTTCTTAATAAATTTAGTCTCCTCGTTATTTCTCCCAAACCCTATTCTACCATCCATTTACTCAAGCTCATCAAATATGTTACATGTTGCTTTCCTCTATCCTTCTTTCTCACAATCTGTCCTGTGAGTAACACATTTTCCAAGCCCTCCTTCCTCACTATGTGCCCCAGAAATTTCAACTGCCTCTTCCTGATGTTAAGTACACGTTTTCTATTTGTTTCCATTTTCTCCAAAACCTTGTCATTGCTCACATGTTCAGTTCATGGTATCCTTAGCATCTTTCTGTCGAACCACATTTCTGTTGCTTCAAGTCTCTTCTTCATCTGTGAGGAGATTGTCCAGTATTCGATGCCATATAGGAAGAGACATATTATGTAAGAGTTCAGTAATCTTTTCTTTGTTTCTCTTGCTTCAAGTCTCTTCTTCATCTTTGAGGAGATTGTTCAGTATTCACTGCCATAGAGGAGGACTGATATTACATAACAGTTCAGTGCTCTTTTCTTTGTATCTATCTGTTTCAAGTCTCTTCTTCATCTGTGAGGAGATTGTTCAGTATTCACTGCCATATAGGAGGACTGATATTATATAACATTTCAGTGCTCTTTTCTTTGTATCTGTTTGTTTCAAGTCTCTTCTTCATCTGTGAGGAGATTGTCCAGCATTCGATGCCATATAGGAGGAGAGATATCATACAACCGTCCGGTACTCTTTTCTTTGTTTCTAAAACAATTTTTTGGTCTCTTAATACTCTTCTTAGCTTCTGGAATGCACCTTTAGTCATCCCAATACATCCTCGGATTTCAGTGTTTCACTTTCCATACCACGCAGTTACTCAAGGACAGAATCTATTTATGACCCACATGAACAGTATATGGTGAGCTTAAAGTAGGATTGGTAACAAAAAATTGTTCAGCTCACTAAGCAATTCTCCCTTGGGATATCTCAGGCATCAGCAATCGATCTAGACTCTCCCCTTCAAAGGAAGATATCTATTTACACACCCACTACAATGGAATATGGCACTGGGCTGGGTTTCAAGTAGAAATCATACACTGTTCATCATTACTTTTCTTTTGGGACGCTTCATGTATCAGAAATTAATCTTGACCCTGCCCATCCTCATGCAACGGGAGAGGGGCTACCTGAGATTAAAAAAGCTGAAGTTGAATATGCAATGTTTTCTTTTAAATGGAACTACAACAATAGTTGGAGCAAATTGAGAATACACTGACAGATATAGAAAAATAAAGCACAATTAGCCAAGAGAATCCAATGAGTTGAAGTCTCTCCTTGCCAATCCAAAATGATTGGTGATTGCCGACCAAGAAAAAAAGCCAAACTGAGATCATTCACTGCTATCAACATGCAACATATACACAAGTTTATCACCACTGACCTTTGTTGTGTTTTTATGTACCTTAAAACATGTACACATGTGTATACATACTGAGTTTCCCCTGTAAAGATAAGAAAATTTTCTTGTGCAACTATAAGTTGGAGAATTCTAGATTTACTGCTGCTTCCAAGTACTGTGAGATAGAATCTTACACTTCATCCTCTACGAAAAGCCAATGACAACTGGCAATAAATACACAAGCAGTTTAAAACAATTTCTTTTCATTATATGTATTATTTTAATTTCATTTCAGTCCTAATTATGTTAACTGTGTTGTCATGTCCTAGATTATTAGTTTACAATTGCATTAACATAGGTGAATGACCTAAGTGCTTATTCACAGAAAAATGGCATGAACATTCTGACTTACACGGAAAATCACATTATAACACATTGCATGAACGGAACTCTGTTGTACATTAAGAGCCTGCTGCATATAAAATATACATCCACATATACACTCACTGCATACTACTTTCATTTCTCAATGCTATTTTGCTACTTCAGCTGGTGTTTTTTTTTTTAGCTGTTATATTATTATGCATTACTATTTTTGCAGTAAATGTCGATTTTTCTTTTCCAATTTCCTGATTTACCAATATTTTCATTTCTACCAGAGCTTGCTTTGATATAATGTTTTCTGCAGCTGTGAAGTTCCTTTTTGTTCTCTCTTATAAATTACAGCAATATCGTTACCAAAGAAAAAGGCTTTTTCATTGTTCTGCTGTATCCAGAGCATTTTTTGTTCAATTATTTCTGCTACCATGTAGCTATGTATTTCAATAAAATTAAATGTTTAACCTAAAAATATCTTGAAACATTGGGTTTATATTCCTTGCTGAAATGGATAAAAAGTTTTTTATGCTATTAAATTTAGTAAAACTTTATAAAAATTTTACAATTAATCTCAGGAAAATATATGATAAATTCATCATATTTATTTTTTTTTTTATTAACACAACTTCCTCAAGACAAAAGCTTACAACATCATGTTGAAACATCGATTCCCATACAATCACTAAAGTTAAGCAATGTCAGGCCTGGTCAGCTCCTGGATTGGGAATACCAGGTGCCGTAAGTTTGAATGTGCAGGTGGATAATGGCTCGAGATTGTTAATCAGAGAGCCAAGTTCTAATTCCCATTGGGTACCTTATATTTAATTACATGCAAGTACCCTTGGGAAAGGTATGAATCCACTTCTCCACCCCCAGCTATGGGTTAATTAGTAAGACTTATATCACTGAACCATTATTATCACCACCACAAAACTTCTTACGATTTAAAAATAGTTTCTGGCTTTAAATAACTTGCAAAGTGTCGATAAGTCATAAAAAATGAATGAATCAATCAATAAAACTAAAAAAAAAATATGAAAAATGTCATTACTCTTTTTCCTCAGAGATAGTGGTGGTGGTGGTGGGAGGACAAATACTTGTACACATACAAATTTTTATTTTATTTTATTCCCAACTAATGAATAAACATACTTTTTATATAATTAACTGGACACAGATGCATACTAACTAAATATACATAGAAAACAAAAAAAGAATTTGATTTAATAGAAATAAATCCCATTTATCCATTTTAATGGGTGAAAAAAGTATTCGTACAATACAAAAAAGAATACATAATTTTCATTTAATACTTTGTAGAATCGCCATTATTCACTTCTACAGCAACCAACCTCTTCTTGTAGTTCTCAATTAATGATTTGCATATTTTAGTTGGTATTTTGTTCCTTTCTTCTTCGCATATGGTCTTCAGATCTCGGTTGTTTGTGAGAGCTCTCGATTGGATTTGAATTTTCAAATAACGCCACAGATTCTTGATTGGGTCTAAATCTCTGGACTGACTGGTATTTTTATTATTTTCAGGAAGCCGTTTCTTCGCAGTGTGCTTAGGATCATTATCTTGTTGGAAGATCCAATCAGGAGGAAGTTCAAGATTTTCAACCAAAATCATTAAATTTGCTTCCAAAATATTTTGATATGTTGTGATATTCATTCTACCATCTATTACTGATATGTTGCCAGTACCTCTTGCAGAAAAACTTCCCCAAACCATGATGCTGCCACTACCAAATTTCACTATTGAAACTGTGTCCTTTTGTTTGAAGGCATCGCTATCTTTCTTCCATATATAATTTCTAGAATTATGTCTAAAGAAATCAATTTTGGTTTCATCTGTCCATAATAAATACTCTTTCCCAATATGATTTTTGCTTATCCTTACTGAATCCCAAGTGAATTTCGAACTGGCATCTTTGTGTCTTTTCAATAGCAGTTAAGTTATCCAAGGGGAGTGTGACATTAAATTGCTACTATGAATTTTATTGCTTATTGTCCATTTAATGACACAGATTCCTGATGAAAGCAAATCATTCTGCAACTCTTGATGAGTAACCATTGGATTTTGTTTAATTTGATACATTAATTTCCTTGAAGATCTTGAAGAAATCTTCCGTGGAACACCTGTCCTTCATTGATTTTCAACAGTTTTGAGTTTTTTATACCTTGCAATGAATGAACTAATGGTAGTAATATTCAGGTTGTCTGAGATTTTCATGTAAATTGTACCTTCTTTACAGAGCTTAACAATCAGTTCTTTTTGTGAAACTGTCATTCTTTACCTGTTGCCATGATGACAACCTTCTTGCATTAATCTCAACTACAGAATGTTCTGTTTGTATTTTTAGGCTAAAAATAACAACTGATAACATTATTAGAACATTCTAGAATATTCCACTTGAATAATGGAGAGTATTAAAGCAAGTTAAAAGTTTTAAAATCTGAAATTTACATTGTACGAATACTTTTTTCACCAATTAAAATGGATGAATGAGATTTATTTCTATTAAATCAATTTTTTTCTGTTTTCTATGCATATTTAGTTATTATGCATCTGTGTCCAGTTAATTATATGAAAAGTATGTTTATTCATTAGCTGAAAATAAAATAAATTAAAAATGTCTATATGTACAAATATTTGTTTCCTTCCACTATATATATATATATATATATATATATATATATATATGTGTGTGTGTGCAAAATGTGTATACATATACAATTTTTATATTATTTATATATTATATATGCAAGGTACTTATTGGAAAGCGATCAATATCAATGATAGAGTTAACACACACACACATATATGTATACATTATGAAATGGACAAAGTCCAACAATTAAGACAAAAAATTAATTACAAAAAGAATGTA